ACCATCATTCTCAAAACATTTTCTTTCTACTTGAGCCTTTGGTATCAGCTCACTTTTCCCCCCTCTCCCTCCCAAACCCTTGATAATTTATAAATTATTTTTTCATGTCTTACACTGTCCAATGTCTTCCTTCACCGCTGGGAGGGGGCTATGTATATAGATCATTGTGATCAGTTCCTCCTCTCTCACCCACCTTCCTCTCCTGGTATAGCTACTCTCCTTATTGGTCCTGAGGGGTTTATCTGTCCTGGAGTCCCTGCATTTCCAGTTCTTATCTGTACTGTGTACATCCTCTAGTCTAGCCAGATTTGTAAGGTAGAATTAGGATCATGATACTGGGTGGGGGGGGTCACGGGGAGAAGGGGGCGGGAAGAAGCATTGAAGAACTAGAGGGAAGTTGCATTCTTCATCGTTCCTATTCTACACCCTGACTGTCTCATCTCCTCCCTGTGACCCTTCTGTAAGGGGATGTCCAGTTGCCTACAGATGGGCTTTGGGTCTCCACTCTGCACTCCCCCTCATTCACAATGATATGACTTTTTTGTTCTGATGATGCCTGATACCTGATCCCATCGACACCTCATGATCACAAAGGCTGGTGTGCTTCTTCCATGTGGGCTTTGTTGCTTTTCAGCTAGATGGCCGCTTGTTTATCTTCAAGCCTTTAAGACCCCAGATGCTGTATCTTTTGAAAGTCGGGCACCATCAGCTTTCTTCACATTTGCTTATGTATCCACTTCAGTGCAGTGGCTCTCACATATTCCTTCCATCTTCTTTTGGTCATACTGAAACTTAAGGCCTTCCATACTGAAACTTAAGGCTTAAAATTTCCTCAGCTCTTTCATCTTGAGAAATGGTCATTCATCATGATATTCCCTTTTGGCTTTATAACTCCAGTTCTCTGTAGCTTTCATCATAATACTCTGTGTCTTTCTTGAACTGACCTTGACATCTTTTGTTCAGTTGCTTTCTTCTATTTGTTCTATCTACATTCAAGTGAAAGTTTCTCTCCTGATCTTCATTTTCATCTTTCCTTTATCTTCCTTCATGTATGATTTCCCTGATGTTACTCCCATAGCCCACCTGATCTTTAATCATTAAACTGTTCATTGCATCACATCTCTTCTTGAAATAGTCTGTAAATTCCGGTAGGATTCACTTCATGTTGTAGTTCACTTTAGATCTTGTAGACTTGTTTAGTTCAGCTTCAATGAGTAACTGATGGTTTGTGCTCATCAGTCCCTGGCCTTGTTCTGCTAATACTGAACTCCTTCACGGGCTCTTTCCATACATGTAGTCAATTTGATTTCTGTGAATTTCATCTGGCAAAGCTCACATGTAGTCACTATTTATGTTGTTGCAAAAAGGTCCTTATAATGAATGAGTTATTGGTCTTTAAAAAAAGTCTATCGTGTGATCTCTGGTGTTTTTTATCGCCAAGGCCTTGATTTTCAAACTGCTATCATGATATACGGAGAAAATATTGAGGTGTTCAAGAATTTTATTTCACTTCGATTAACAATTAACACCCAAAGCAGCAGCAGTCAAGAAATCAAATGGCACTGTATTGGGCAATCTGCTACAAATGTATTAAAAGGCAAAGATATCACTTTGAGGAGTAAGGTGTGCTTGATCCAAGCCATGGAATTTTTAATTGCCTCAAAGCATGTAAAAGCTGGACAAGGAACAAGAGAGCCTGAAAATCTGGTCTTTGAATTATTGTTAGGGAAAAATATTAAATATACCATAGACTGAGAATAAGCAAATCTGCCTTTGAAGAAGTACAGCCAGAATGCTTCTTAAAAATGAGGATATGAGATGAGATGTTGTCTCATTTACTTTGGATGTGTTCTCAGGAGGGACCAGTCCCTACAGAAGGATGTCAGTAAAAAAGAAGATCCTCAATGGCCCACAATGGCTACAATAAGCTCAAATATAGTCACAAAAGTAAGGAAGGCACAGGAGTGGGCACTGTTCATCTCGGTGGTATGTTAGGATCACTTAGTCAGACTGACTTGATAGCATCTAATAACAACAACAACACTCAGCCTCTATTTCAATTAATTAGTTCTTCAAAAAGCAGCTCTCTTCTGGCCTCTGCTGGTGTGATGGCAGACACTGTTGCGTAATATTTTTGTTTCAGTGCATGCTATGGGGCCCAAGTGGAAAGACACTTCAATCTTGGGAGGAATCATTCTAACAGTGTTAATTTAGCAAAAGGAACTTTGATATGCCCCCTAAACTACTAGGCTTCTTGAGAAGATATAGTGGACAGTCATATACAAGTTATATTTCAAATGCTTAATTCTTGAGTACATTTTTCAAAATTAAAATCGTGTGTATATAAAAGATGCAAAAGAGCACATAATAAATCCCAAGGTCTGTGTTTAAGCGTTTGCTGCTCCTTTGGGGAGAGCTTGTTAGTCCTAACACCACCGCTGGTATTGTGCCCGATAAAGATCAAGTGCTTGGTAAATAGTGGTTAAGTAAATGAATTAGTATTATTTGCCTTCTTATGAAATTATAAATTAAAGACAATCTAGGAGGAATCTCTGCAGTCTTTCTAAGTTATTTCTTAGGTATTTAAAAAACCAAAGAACACCCTCTATGAATTTTTAAATACAAGTGCTAGATGCAGCTTCAACTGAGTGATTAACATCTGAACAGCTGCCATTTGTTTCACCCTGGAAACCTTTTTTCTTTACGTGAAAGGTGTCAGGACATTATCTTCTACTTTACATGGCTTTTCTCTCAAGGTGACATACTATGCCTTCTCTCACTATATATAAAGATGCAGACACGCTCAAATATGTGTGTACATATGTACATACATACATGCATATATATGTGGATAATCATGATTAACTCCTTTGTTGCCTTTGACAACCTTTCGATGGTTTGTCAGAGGCAGGTCAGGTATTAGTTGCTCAAATGTTAATTACTGATGTATAGGTTCAGCATATTTACATAGTTCAAATCAGAGCTTCTCAACTTAAAAAGCTTGCAGACTTTTAAAGCATATATAACCAGAGACCAGCATAGATTTGTATGACACTAGTATCTAACATGTATAATGCTTTACAAATGTAAACAAAAACTCCACACACCGTGACCGTGCAGGACAGTGCAGAACTGGCCGACAGCATTTCCAAGGTTGTGATCGTTATGGAAGCAGACTGCCACATCTTTCTCCTGGAGAGCCATGGTGAGTTTGAACTGGCCAGCTTTCGGTTCGCAGTCAAGTGCTTAACCACTGTGCCACAAAGGCCCGTTACATACATTTATACTGGTAACTTGAAAAAATAATAGTGTATTAAGCCTCATGAATGACATACACTTTTGTATTTAAACTCATCCTTCCAATACAAGTATTTTTTAGAAAGTGTTTATTTACTGGAAGGGCTGTTCAATAGCAGATAATGAAACATGCTCACTGCACATGGGATTGGTAGCTGCCAAGATGCTATCAGAGAGGCAATCTCTTATATCCTGTCTCTACTTAGACTTTCCCTTAAAATGCAAACTCTATTGGTGGTGCAGAGTTCTAACTGCACCGCCCGTGGTGCCCTGTTCAGATCCAGGGAGTCTCTCAGACTGTTGGCAATCCGGGTCTCCATTTTTATCTCGAGCAGATACCAGAGACCCTCAGGGCATCATGAAGTTGATGACCAACTTTGAATAACTGATGCCCAGACTTCTTCAAGTGAGAAAAATAGAACCAGTCATCTGTTGTTTAACCTACTGTATCTGTTAGCTTAACATAATTGCACAATAATACACAGGTTTCTTTGAGGATTAAAAAGTCTGGGTGAAGAGCCTTAGCTCAGCCCCTAGCATATAAGTGACCAAGAAAGGCTGCTAGATTACTTTGGGACAATTAGCTGACTGCCAGCAGTGAGCAACACTCAAACACAGGACCTACAATTTTGGAAGAGAGGCAAAAGAACGATGAGTTGTGAGAAATTCACAATTAATACCGAGCCAAGTAATGTTCCTAAGTGCTTGCCATGTAGTAGATATTCTTCTAAGTACCTTTCTTTTTCAGACACTGGATAACACAAGCTGATGCCATTTGTTCTCATGGGAACCATGGTCAACAAGGAAGATCAAACTCTAAGCTAAGAGAATTCATACATTCTAAGAAGAAAAAAGTACATTGATGAAGTGATTTGGATTTTAGTGAGGTGTCATGTACTCTTAATACTGTCAAGTTATGAGTGAAATACACATTCAAAAAGATGTTGGTAAAGAGCCACTAAAAATGAGGACCTGGTGTGGGCGATCACTTTAATGACTCAGACAGTAGGCTCTAGAGCAGCGGTTCTCAACTTCCTTATGCTGCGACGCTTTAATACAGTTCCTCATGTTCTGGTGATCCCCCCAACCATAACGTTATTTTCGTTGCTACTTTATACCTGTAATTTTGCTAGTTATGAATCGGGTGACCCCTGTGAAAGGGTCGTTTGACCACCAAAGGGGTTGCGACCCACAGGTTGAGAACCACTGCTCTAAAGAGATAGAAAGTCCCTAAATTAGAGAAATTAATTTTGATGTCAAATTGGAAGCTTACGGCATAAGTCCAACAGGAGAAATAACACAACTGAACCCAACGGGCAGAGAATACAACAAATTCAGCTTCAGAACTGGACCAAGAACAAAAGCATGCTGAAAACACATACTGTGATCAGATCAGAGAACTGTGCTAATTTCTATTACCTGGCAAAGGGAACACCTGGCTATCGGTGAGCACACAAAAAGGCACTTACTGCAGAACAGTACTCCTCCTTCCAGTTGAACAAAAAAGGAGCTGGAAAGCGAACATGACTATTCAAATTTAGCCCTTCCTGTGATTATCTCTAAATGCCAAACACTGGTGTGGTCCACAGGAGCGCTGAGGAGAACAACGGTCGATAGTACTAACAGGACCTCGCTGTGCAGTGTAAGCACTAAGTGAAAGTGGAAAGAAAAGCCCCGAAGACAACAAATCACAGACAAAACGATCGTATTTTCAAAACTGTAATTGGGTTTTACCAAAGTAAATAAACACCTCTTAAGAGTGCAAAATGAAAGCACCTTACTGTTTTAAAGGTGCAAAAAGCAAGAAAGTACATCAACGCATCCACATTTTAAATAATTGTTTGTGTGGTCGGTAAATGTCATTTACAAACATTTTTCAATACAAAATTGATTAATAAATCAGTTTACAAAGATTAAAAAAATCAGTGTTTAATACTAACGTTAACTATAAATAACCAAAAAGGAAAAAAGTCCTCTATCCTGATTTTGCCTGAACATCTATGTCTTCTGCTCTTTGCCCTTTGGAGAAAACATTGCAGTGTACGGCTGCCGTCTTTTTGGACGAGGGCAGGGAGTACGTTCTTCCTTAATGTAACCTTAAAAGGAAAAGAGAAAATCACAAATTTAGATGTTATTTGCAACATACATTTCCTTCACCATATATCGTAAAGCCTTGCCTTTAATGCCCTCTAAGTTTACACGATTCTTCTATTACAGTGTAATGATGAAAAATGAACTCACGACTTACGATGTTCCTTCCTTTACAGAAACAATAGCAGCATCCATTTGTCAAATGCTTTAATTATATAGTATCATATAACTCTCACATCCCTTTAAAATAACTTCCACTATGCCTGGGGAAGTTAAATAGTTTGTTCAAGGTTAAAAAGTCTAGGGAGTGGATGAACTGGGACTTTGCTCAAGATCTAATACCAGAACCAGAGCTCTTCAGCATTTTCCTACTCTGCTTCCCCAAAGGATGCCCATCGGGGGAAACAGCTAAACAGGAACTCCTCGCCTTTCTGCTACATTCCAGGTGCTTACTAAACCCCCTTCCCCAGGAGCTGTTTCATTAGATGCCGTGCTGCTCTTACACCCTGCAGATGCGTAGACGCTCCTCCCCGGTGTCTCCACTCAAGTAGCCTGTAGCAGAGGACTGATCTACCCACACCCTTAGGCCACAGCTAACACAGGCTCGGTCCGGATTGTCTGATTGTACCTGGTGACCAGGCAGAGACACCATGTCAAACTTACTCTAGCTGGTTAGGGGAAAATGGAAATCTAGCTATAACCTGTCAGAGAGCTCACATTTTCTGCAGACACTACTTTATAACTAAACAGCTGAGTCATCTCCGAACGTGAGGAAGCGTTTCTCCCACTGCTAATCATACAGCTTTAACCAGTGAGCCTCTTATTTGAGAACGGTCACCAGAAGGTGGCAAGCCTGAATTGAAATTCTAGATGGTAATAATTTGATATTTATCCAACGTTACTACACCTAATTATAGAGTTTGGGGGTGACACTCAACTCCAGGCCCAAAGGTTGAAGGTTTGAGCCCACCTAGAGGTACAGTGCCTACAAAGACAAGCCTGACAATCTGTTTCCAAACTGGGGTACTAGGGCCACATGATCAATGGTCACACATTGACCAAGGTGGTTGCAAGGCCCTGAAACAATCTTGTAAGCTCCTCTAATCTATAATAGTACGGTCTTTTTCCTGACTTTCTAGTCCCACCTGCAACTATGCTGAATTGACATGCCACCCATCATGACTGTGGTAATGTCCTTTGTTCTCCGTGTCCTCTTCAATGAGCCACGTGACTGAGAATCCTTGATCACCATCAGAGCTTCCTGCTGAGTCTCCCTCATAAGAATGATGTGTCTTTGTTTGGTTTAAGATGTAGTCAACAGGGCTCTCTATAAATGGTTGGAATTTGGGGTTGCTTTCTCCTTAGAGCAATATAATTAGAATTGAATGCTAAGATCATGGAGAAAATTGCAAAAAATACTAGAATTAAAGATACATTCTTGTTCAGCTACTATAGTCCCTCTCTTATGCATTAAAAATTTTTTTCTCAATAGTTATTACTAAAGTACGTGCCACTTCAAGTCTGTTGGACAATGTCCAACTGTAGACACATCTGAGTCTCATAAGCTTTGTTTGTTTGTTTAAAGGGGAAGCAGATTTCTTGTTATTATTTTCCCCCAATGGCTTTAAAGAGGCCAAACCCAGATTCTTGCAGCACTGGCCCATGGCTGGGATATAAGCAGGCAGGTGAGGCAGAGGGCACAGCTCTTGGCACAGGTCTCAGGCTTTGTCTGGTGGACAGGCAGGATGCAGGGCAGTAGCAGGGCTGCTTCCGCTGATCAATGTGATTGTATGAGGATGAGTCAAAAAAGGATTGACTGCTTACACGCATAACAGCTTTATTCTAAATAAAACATGTAAAAACATGTCTCTGTAATCAGTGGATGGCTATAGACATGGTCTAATATTATACTTGTCTTTGTATCATTAGTGTTAAAAAAATTCAAATCAATACAATAACTTGATCCACTAGACCAGCTGAATTCAAGGCAGAGAGGTCACCTTAGAAGATTACAATGGCTGACTTTTGAGATTCCAAAAGAGTAACGGGGACTGGGTCTTATTACAAGAAGTTCTGAGAAAATGAAGAACTGCACTGGTGAGAAAAAGGTCAGGGAAGCTGCACACCGAGGAATTTCTCTGGCTGACAGTGCACCTGCTCACGCTGCAAGGGTAGCAAGAGATAGTCTCTGAGAATTTTCCCGGTCCCGTCCAGCCCTGATCCTGCCCCTCCAGTTTCTTTGTGTTCTCCAAACTCAAAGACACATTTGAATCCACTGATGCCAAATCTGTCATTTTGACATGATGTAAATCATAGGTTCCCAAATTTATCTGTCCTACCACCCTTTTTAGAAAAAAAATTACTAGCTCCTACCCCACCCCCCCAATTAAAAACTCTGGTACTAAGCCTGTAATCTGTGCTTTTGCAGCCCCTTGGAGTGACTGCCTCACTCACTTTTGGACACACTGCCTGGGTGGGAGAGATGGCAATAGCATCTTCAGGAGGGTGTAGACCTGTCGGGGTATCCCCCAGAGAGGCTGAGAAACTGCACCTCACATTTTGTCTGATACTGGAGCAGTATGTTTTGATTTACCCTCCTATGAACTGGAACCCTATTTGCAAAACTTTTTTGACTTACCCTCTTATACCATTTAAAAATATCAATTGCCACCTTTGTCTATAGATGTTCTCACCTCTGTCCATACAAATCTGAGTAGAAGGAAAACCAATTTCCCAAAAATTCTCTGGTGTGTTGGGTGGAATGTAGCGGAATCGGTGTCTTGAGCAGGTAGATAACTTCTTTTCTCTTTCTTCTGCTGGCATATCTGCATAATACTAATATGGAAAACATTTTTTTTTTACTTAGGAAGAATAAATGGTGTGTTATGCTATCTATAAACTAGAAGCTAAGAAAGGTATGTATTAAAGTACTCTAAGGAATAATACATGTTGCTGAGAATAGTAATTTTACATACTGACAATGATCAGCTCTGGAGCTGGTCTATCTCACAGACGAGAAAAGGAGCTGTATCACAACGCAAAGCCACACACTGTTACTTTCATCAATAAAGTCTTGCATGGTAAAGAAAAGTCAAATGAACTTTACAGTGACTTAGGGATATAGCTGATTCATAAGGTGGTTTCAAAAAATTCATGGAAAATTAGAATGAAGAGATAATGGAGTTTTCTGCTAAATTTCTGAACCCCTCTCTGCCCTATTAAAACTTCTCATCTCTATCAGACAAGAAACAAAAATGTAGAGGCTTGCACTTTGCCTATCCTATCACTGCTCTCAACTGCTATCGGGATACAATGTGTGTTTCAAAGTGATTTTCCTATCTCTATGTAAAGACTTACAGCCTTGGAAACCTGCAGCAGATTTCTCACAAAGTCCTACCTAGTCTTTCCTCATCAAAAACACTCAAGCTCACACATCAGCAAGAGAAACCTGACTCAAAGTGACCCTATAGGGCAGCAGAACTAGGTGTTCCACTCTGGAGACCCACTGTGGGTTTGTTCCTGAGGCTGTAAAACTGTACGCGAGCGCACAGTCTCACCTTTCTCCCTCGGAACAGCGAGTGGGTTTGAGCTGCTTGTGGTTAACCGTCCAACATGTACCTGACTACGCCACCAGGGCTCGCTCCTTCCTGGTCCTGAGCGTTAGTGTTGGGATCATGGGAAATGGGATGTTTTGAAAGCACAACCACTGGGACGTCTGACAGACTGAATGGCTGTGGGATGTGAAAGAAAGGACTAGAAAACAGGTTTAAAACGAAGAGTGGAATTGCCATTAGTGACATTCAGACGTGAGGTCTGGAAATTAGAGGCAGAAATATTTGCTTTGGAACATGTGATGTTGGAGATGCTGATTCCATTGGCAGGAGGGCAAATATAACAGACACTGGGATAATTCTACGAACTGTAAGCACACAAATGGTAGTCAATACAGGGGACTGGCATTTCCATCCTGATAGAGTAAGAGGGGGCAGATTCAATCTTAACTTAAACAACTACAACTGAATAAAATGCATCAAATAGTTTTGGGGCAGTTAAATAACAGATAGTAACACGAGAAGACTTTAGAGCAGTGGTTCTCGACCTTCCTAATGCCGTGACCCTTTAATACAGGGCCTCATGTTGCAGTGACCCCCCCCAACCATGAAATTATTTTCATTGCTGCTTCATTACTGTAATTTTGCTACTGTTATGAGTCGGGTGACCCCTGTGAAAGAGTTGCTCGACCCCCAAAGGAGTAAATCAACTGTGTTTCTAGGACAAAAGCTTTTTCCTAACTAGAAGTATTAGTTCCAGATTGTAAACAGTGATGGTTATAATTAATAATTGGAGGACTACTTCAAGTTCCTTAGTTAAAAATTCATGATAAATTTGATCAGTTATAAAACTCAAGATGTAGGAGATTTTGCTTGTTTGCCAAACTACTTTCCAAATTCATCATGCCACTGTTAGTACATAAGAGCACATTTATTACCAAATGTTTACTTTAAAATTTAATCATGAGAGGGCTTCAAATAGTTGATGGGAAAATTAATTTAAGAGATAAACTTCTCTGAAGTTCCCTTGAACTTACAGGAAACATTATTGTGCTTAGTAATCCAATTTTCTCATCCATAATAGAATGCTTAAAAGAGGAGGTACCATATATATACTTGAGTATAAGCCGACCCAAATATCAGATGAGGCTCTTAATTTTACCACAAAACTGCATAAAAAATGTTCTGAAAAAGTTGGCTTCTACACGAGTACATACAGTAAATTGCTGGAGGCACTCATCCGATAGCTAATGGATAGTACAGGGATTGATTTGTGATCTTCCGGCCACCCTCCCACCTTTCCACACCCCCCACAATGAACCAGTGCCCGTTTATCCTATTTCATTGAGGAAGGAAAATGGGGGAAAGGCAGGGCATATGGTCATACCGGTTATTTAGGGAAACAAGACTGTAACAAGTATGCCTAACTTTCCAAGAGTAAGTGTTAAATTTACTATTGAAATATCAAAGTCTTCCCCAGATAATGTATGTCTAAAAGTGTTTGCTGTAACATCACGCAAGGAGGGAAATAAGGCAAACACCGGTACACAGAGAAGCACGGCATCCATGACTGAAGCTGGCCACCAGAACTAGACTTCAGGCACCACATCCACTTACTGAAACTTTGAGAGAAATCGAGAGCTTTTGCTTTCATCTATTTTTCTCTCATGTCATAGCCTGTTTATTCTACATAGTCCTATCATTTGTGGCTCAAACTAGGTTTCCAGAGACAAACATGATTTATACGTATGACTTCTTGAAGTATATGAATTTATGACCTTTAAAGCCATAATTAAAAAATAACTAGACAGCATTTACATTTGTACTTACAATTTCACATTCTTTACATGTGTGTCCAAGTAGTTTCTTTCGATCTTCCTTTTTCCGAACTACCTCAATATGAGGAAAATTTTGTTTGCTAGTATCTCTGTGAGAAAAATGAATTATAATTCAAATCAATCCACTTGTGAAATACAATGATATTTGGTTTAGGATTTAAGCTGAGAGGAAATATACTCCCCAAACATTAATTCATTTTATTTGAAATGATTATCCAGTTAGAGAAACAAACATTTCTTACTGTATTTTAATCAAATATTGAGTGATTACTGTATGCCAAAGACCCCTGACAGCACGATGGTTAGATTCGCTGCTGACCCAAAGGCCTGTGGGACGCCAAGACCAGGACATGGCTCAGAGGCACGGAGTCTGTGCTCTTGGCACACAAGGCACAGAGAAGGAGCAGGGTTCAAGATCAAGACACTCACAGTTTGTTTTAAAGGGTTAAAAACCTCATGAAATAATCCTGAAGTACAATCTAAGGCACAATCACCACTTATACAAAGTTACAGTATACAATTTAATAAATCCTGAAGTTCAACAAAATGGTTGCTATAATAAAATGGTGAAAAATAATTGTTACTGTCCAAAAAGGGGGGAGAATTCTTCAAATTTTGTTTTAAAAAGTTAAATATGCTGAATCCTTTGATGTTGTGACCGTACAGTGAGTAATATTCATCTTACTGTAACTAGAGTAGAAATTTAACGTAGCACAGAGACTCTCGGACGCTCTGCTGTCCCTCCACTCACACTGCTGCATCAATCGACACCCACTTACCTTTCATCGTCCTTGGAATATGGCTCCAAAAAAGCTTTCTGTTTGATTGTATCATATTTATCACCATGACCTGGAAGCAAAACAAACACATCACAAACGGAGTGTACAATTTTAGTTTGACAAGCTTCCGTTTCTATTGGTTTTCATCATTTAAGCGTATGGGGGGTGGGATTCAACTTCTTATATGCACTTCTTTCCCGGTCTTCAAAATGAGGAGTGTGGTGACTGTCTGATTTAAGTCTGATTTACAAAAAACTGAGCATGTGATACTCTCTAAATTTTCTCCTTCCTCTGAGTCCTGGTGCTATAGTGGATGATGCATTAGGCTGCTGCTACCCACCAAGTCAGCAGTTTGCATCTGCTAGCCACCTGAGGGAGGCAATGAGCCTTTCTGCCCCATAAAGATCGACAGCCTCTGAAACCCAAAGGGCAGTGTCACTTCTGCTCTGTGGGGTGCTATGGGCCAGCGTTGACGCAGTGACAACGAATTAGGTTTGTTTGATATTTTTAATGGGAAAAGACTATGCAGGACTATGTGAGAGCAGGGGCCAAGAAAAGAAAGTGAAATAGTGGACAAAAGTCCCAAATTATATACCTAGGTGATTGGGAAAATAAAGTGTAAGGAGTTACTTGGTAGGAAATAAATAGAATCTGGCTTATGTTTAAGGTGCTGGAGAGAAAGAAACAAGCCAACGTAAAAGCAAACTCGTCGCTCTGCAGTGCAGCAGTGCCCTAGGGGTTTCCATGGCCGCAATCTTTACAGAAGCAGACTCTTAGAAGCCTGATTGAAACACGCCATAAACCTAACCAAGAAAGACTATGTTACAGCAAATTATCCATTCATTTCAACTAGTATGTAATCACCTGTGCACAAGACTAAACATTCTGACTGTACTCACAACGTGAATACAAGATACTTGGCAAGAATTTCAACCCATTAGTTGTGATGACTGTGCTGTGGTTACAAAAGATGGGGAAACGTAGGGATGGAAAACTCTCCCAACTGTTCTTTTGCATTTGAGTTTCTATAAGTGAAATTATCTTTTTTTAAAATTAAAATTACTGTTACAAACACATTTACACGAAAGACTAGGCTTACTACTGGTCAGATAGACTGGGGGAACCCCTGAGACTATGGCCCTTGATCTGTGAATGAATTCACCCCCATCGCTCACTTTTCAGCCCAACAACAGGCAGGTCTACAGGGGTAATAACAGTCACATTGTGGGGAACGAACACCTGAGACTAATCAACCATTGAAATCAAAAGACACCATTTACCCATGGACAAAGCTTGGTAGGTTAAGAACGAAGGTAGGATTAAAAACAGGATACACTGGGAAAGACTGGGTAAGAGATAGGACTGCAATCAATAACAAGAAACAAACTATGAATTGTGGAATGGAAAACTTTTCAGTAAACTGCTCTATAAACTTTTATAATACAAAGTTTTTATAAAATAAGGAATTGAATTTGGAATAAAATTATACATTTATATGTTAAATGTTAGAGTTATCTAAAAACACAAACATTTATACAAAAATTAAGAAGCTTTCTTGCTAATATACCTTGTCAAGTCTTGGTTAATTAGCCTAATGACTTAATTTACTGAGCTCAGTGTAACTCACAAGTCATACTTTCAAAATAAAAACAGCCTTACTGTTTGGTTTCTGTGGGGTAGTTGGCAATTCTTCCTCATCACCCACTACTTGAGGGAAATTATCTGCCAAGCAGGATTCATATTCTTCATGTGTTGTCTGATCAAACATATCTTCCAAGCTATCATTCATTTTTCTCTCTTCACCTAGATAAAAGAACATTGGCTTACAGCAACAAGCGAGCTTTTCCCTTTCTGTATACACTGATGTAAAACTCAGTATTTTTTTTAAAACCCAGTAATTCAGATGTGCAAGGTGAGACAAATTCAGCTAGCATAAACCCCCAAATCTGGGCAGTTACTGTCTATGTTCCCGCTTGGAATCACGCCTCTTCCTCAACTCCTATGCCATAAACTATGCAAAAGCAAACAAAAACTATTCTTGTTTCAAGCCTCTGAGTTACTAGGTGATTAGCTATGTAGAAATGATTCCCCAAATACCTCATTGAGCCCCAATTATTTCTGTAACCTTCATTTGTTAGTTCACATTCTAATCTTGCTTCCAGCTACTTCAAACATTTGGGAAACTCTGGGTTTCCTAGCATCAACTAGATACATTTTAAACCAAAGGAGGCATACTTTTTTACTTTTTCTATAAAACAAGAAAAACTTTATCAGGAGTTGATACTTGGGGGGAAAAAAGTACCCTCTTAACAAGAATACTTTTCAAGTTTTATAGTTTAGAAAGACAATTCATCTCTATAAAGGTTTTTCTTTTTAACAGGCACCACCTTCCCAATCTCCTAACCTAGCTGCTGATCCACACGGCTAGTTCTTCACAACAGGATAGAGAATTACAGGCAGGGACTATTAAAGATGCTGCACGTATGGCACTCAGAGCAGCAGCAGATTTCAAAAGAAGCCAGGGGAAGATTGGATGCCTAAGTACTCTGCTCTGCGAAGGCAATACCTCACACCATCCAGTTGGTTCTGACTCACAGCAACCCCACAGGACAGAGGAGAATCGACCTGTGGGGTTCATCTTTCTCCCGCAGAAGGGCTGGTGGTTTCGAATTGCCAACATAGTAGCCCAACATGTAACCCACTACACCACCAGGGCTCCTTACTGGAGAAAGGGTAGTGCAGAACATTCAGCAGAGGCCAGAAGCCCACTGGGTGCAGATGGCCTCAGTTCTAACACATGGTCACTGGAAAATGTCTCTTTCAGCATTGCAACTCCACGTGCAGGTCCAAACCCTTCAATATCTAAGTGATACACGCCAACTATTCCCAGTCAAGCTGTTCTAACATGGTAGGACTCCGCAGTTAGGAATGCTGTCGCTAAGGTAGTGCCAACTAAAGTCTTTCCACTGCATTTATCCCTTTTGGAAAATCGGTTTTACGTAAAGAAGCAACAGTTTTTCATAAAACAAAGGACTGCAGGATTCTAATGAGGCTTAGCCTCTTCGCAGTAGAGGAAGAGTAAGGCCGAGAAACTCGGAGGTCATTGTTCTGAGTTGACTACCAGGATACAAATCGATACGAATGCTTGCTTCTCACTACCATGCCCCTATTTCCCCCTTATCAAACTGCTCTGGTAAATCCTATTTCTATGCTATGTCCTTTGTAGGTGAGGAGGGGGAGGAGTTTAAATTAAGGATTGGAAAACTTTTTCTTAAACGACCAGGTAGTGAGTGCTTTAGGCTGTGGGGCTCTGCAACAACAGTGTCACTTCATTGTCCGCACAATCACAGATAACAGGCACACAAAGGAGAGGCTGTATTCCAGGAAAGGTTACCTTATTTCTGAGAGAAAAAGACATTTTTTCCTTCTCTTTTAAAACAGCTTTATGAAGAGAAATTAAAAACTAACATGAAAAAAATACAAACAGGTTGATGGTGACGATATTACTTGTGTTCACAATGTGTACAATGGGTACAACGGTACCACTATTATCTTTCCTTCCACATTTTTATTAAAACTACAAAAGTCAAAAATAAAAACTCGATTCTTACTTGGACTTTTTCCTCCCTTCTGATCTTGCATCTTCATTTTTAAAAGCACAGTTTCACTAACCAATGTACAGTCCATGTCCACGGTCTCTCCTCCTGCTAATCTTGACTGATTGCCATCCTAAGCAAAACACAGAAACCAAAACACAAAACCCAGGCTTAACAATGAAGCCTTTTCAGTCTTTTATTCCCTTGTTACAGAATAGGATAGGTATAAACTTGGGCTTTACTGTCTGCACTATCTCTGCTCAAGCCTAGGGAAAGAACTTCTTCCCCGGGAAGGGAGAGGCATCTGCCATACTGTAGTGAACATCAACATACACTAAGAGTCACGTTTTTTTACATTAAATCTGATTTCTTGATTGGTACATGTTATTCTAGTAACTCTAGTAATTGGTACATATTATTCTAGTAACTCTAGGAAGTCAGATAATTTAATCAGAAGAGAAGACAGATGAACAACTCATTAAAGTTCACTTTTACTTTTTAACTTACTTTTGTATCTATTACAGTAATATCCATTTTATACTGAGAAAGGTCTGCTCCGGGATCCATACTCCACTGGACATTTTCAAAGGATACATCTTAAATAAGGAAGATAAAAATACACAATTAAAAACTGATTTCTACAATTCTTATCCCTTCATTTGCAGAGTCTTTATGCGTCCTCAGTGTCTGGTAAATCCTCACTGAACAGCGTTCAAGGAATGTGAATGGCTTTACTGCCAGACAGAGGGCATTGCAAAGTGGATTTAGCAGCTGTAGTTGGACTGGAATGTAACATCTTGTCATTAGATCCCCCTTTGAATTTATTTAAAAAAATTTTTTTTTCTTTTTCCGATTGAGATTTTTGTTTTATTCAGTCATTGGTGCTGGGTTTCTTTTTGTCACTGTTTTATGTTTTTCTGTACAGGGAAGTCAAGATGGTTGGATCTATGACAGCATCAGGGTAGGTAATCACCTGAGGGCATGGAAGGGGAGGTTGGGGGAATATGGGGAGCCAACAGCTACGGGTAGAATAAGAGGAAAATGCCCCAGATTTGATTGTGGTGATGACTGCACAACACTTCTTAATATGCTTGAACTATTGAACTATATGGGATGCTAATTATGTCTCAATAAAATTACTAAAAAATACTATAGGACCCTCAGATTGGAAGAAAATGTATGTCAATAAATCTTAAAGTCTACTCTAGAACTGATCTAGAATATATCATCTCCCAACTCAAATGAAAAGGCTAATTTCCTCAGTAAGAATCGGAAACGGATCTGGATAGTCTCCAAATAAGATGCACAAAATACCATTAGATCATTAGACAGCAACCCCACGAGTCACCACTTCACACCCACTCACAGCATGACCACAGCCCAACGACAGATGATAACAAGTATGGTGGGGGCCACAGAGAAACAGGAGCTCACACACTGCGGGTGGAAATGGAAATGGGTGTAGCTACCCTGGAAAACAACCTGGCAGTTCATCAACATGCTAAACTGAGCCCATCAGACTGTCCAGAAATCCCATTCCTCTGTACAAGCCAAGAAAAAGGAAAACACACATTCACATAAAACCTGTATATACATGCTATGGAAATAATCTTCACGGTAACCAAAGATGGAAACAATTTACATGCATGAAAGGCTGGCTGAGTGAAAGAAGTCACCAAAGACCACTGCTAGGGATTGAACTGTGTCCCCCACAGATTATGTGCTGTAAATCCTGTCCTTCTATACCTGCTGCCAGGTAAGTGTAGAGCTGGAGGTTCAAACCCAGCAACAGCTCTGTGAGAGAAAGATGAGGCTAGCTGCACCTGTAAACATTTGTAGCCGCAGGAACCTATGTCGGATCAAGGCAGTGACAATGGGATTGGTTTGTTTTTGGTTATGTTCATAGGGCAGCATGAGTATAAAGGTGAGTCTTAAAAATCAACCTCTTGAGTTATATGAGGACAGATTGAGAAAGCAATCAAGTAAGCGAGCACAAATGGAGGAGGGAGGCCACGATAATGGCTGCTGAGGAGCAACTGCAAGCCAGAAAGAGACAAGGTCTTTCTGTCACAATGGAAGGGGGAGGGGAGGAGTGGAGGGAGGGGGTCAGGGGGGCAGAGCCTGGAATTTGGCCCTGAATTCACATTTCTATACTTCTGAGATGTCAGAAAATACATTCTTATTTGTATAGCAGCGAAAGTTCATGAAGACAATCATACTGCAAGATCCCATTTTAAATAAAAAGTTCTGATTAGGCAAATCTATAGGTAAAGACTGAAAGTAGTTTAGTGTTGCCATGGGCTGAACTCAGGGAGTGGGGAATGAAGAGTATACAGGGTTTCTTTTTAGGGTGTTGAAAATGCTCTAAACGTTAAGACTCTAGTGACAGCTACACAACTCTGTGAGTGCTAAAACCACTTAATTATATGGTATATAAATTTTATCTCCATAAAATGTTTCTTAAAAAGTTAAAGTAGCAACAAATGTACATATGGGCTTGACGGATGGATGGATGGATGGATGGATGGATGGACTGTGTTAAGAGTTGTACGAGCCCCCAATAAAATGATTTTTAAAAAAGTTAAAGTAATTGTCTGAAGGAGTTTATAATGTATATAGATATAATGTAAAAAATGACATGAGATGTAATTACAGAATATGAAGTGTATAATATTAAGTCTAAGTAGACTGTGGAAAGTTAAATAGGCATTTTGTAATCCCTACAATAGTCATGGCAAGGTATATGGAGTAAAAATTTTCAGCAATCATAAACGCTTTCCTATTAAGACTAAAATCCTTGCTGGAAGAACAACTAAAGAATGTGCATCTGGAAGGACATTGGGTCTCCACTCTAGTACTCCCTCAATGCAAGAATACTTTCTTCTATTAAATTGGCATTCTGTGATGCTAACCTTCCCGACACAACCGCTGAAGACAAAGCAGGTGAATAAGCAAATGTGGTGAAGAAAGCTGATGGTGCCCGGCTATCAAAAGGTATAGCATCTGGGGTCTTAAAGGCTTGAAGGTAATCAAGCAGCCATCAAGCTCAGAAGCAACAAAGCACACATGGAATAAGCACACCAGCCTGAGCAATCACAAGGTGTCGAAGGGATCAGGTATAAGGCATCATCGGAACAAAAAATCTTATCATAGTGAATGATGGGGGGAGTGCGGAGTGGAGACCCAAAGCCGATGAGTAGGCCACTGGAGATCCCCTTGCAGAGGGGTCTCGGGAAGGAGACGAGCCAGTCAGGGTGCAATGTAACAACGATGAGAAATACAACTTTCCTCTAGTTCCTAAATGTTTCCTCCCCACTCCCACTATCCTGACACGAATTCTACCTTGCAAGTCTGGCTAGACCAGAGGATGTACACTGGTACAGATAGGAACTGGAAATCCAGGGAATCCAGGGCAGATGATCCCTACAGGACCAGTGGTGTGAGTGGCAATACTGGGAAGGTAGAGGGAGAGTGGGTAGGAAAGAGGGAACCGATTACAAGGAACTATATGTGACCTCCTCCCTGGGGGACGGACAACCAAAAAGTGGGTGAAGGGAGACGTCGAACAGGGCAAGATATGACAAAATAACAATTTATAAATTATCAAGGGCTCATGAGGGAGGGGGGAGCGGGGAGGGTGGGGAAAAATGAGGACCTAATGACGGGGGTTTAAGTGGAGAGGAAATGTTTTGAGAATGATGAGGGCAATGAATGTACAAATGCGCTTTACACAACTGATGTATGTATGGATTGTGATGAGTTGTATGAGCCCCTAATACAATGATTAAATAAAAAAAAGAATGTGCTTCCGTAAAAAGAAAAAGAAGTGAACAATTTAATAAAGAAACAATTTTCTAATGATCAACACCAGAAAAAATGGAGAAAAAAATATTGGTTGAAAAAAAATCCTTTCAAGCACAAAAGCAAAATTATTAAAAGATTATTAGAGGTAGCAATGTTTTCATAAAAAAAGTTTAAACACCTACATAGATGTATATATGCATGTGTTTATAGATATGTAAGTAAATGCAAAGAAAAAGTACAAGTTATATATGGGCTAAGGAATAATGCTTGGCTGATCTACTTTTTAATTTTTATAATTCTGTAGAGTTAAAGTAAGAAATAGTTACATAAAATAAAAAAACTACACAATCACATATAAAGGTAGGTTTTAAAAGATCTTGATTCATTTTTCAAAAAGCATATACGTGCAGGAAAATCATAGGTAAAATGAAATAGAAGAGAATCATCTTGTAAACAAAGAAATACACAGGAAGAAATACATTCTCCCTGCCAGACAATTTAACCTACCCAAGGTCTACAAGCAACACTTCCTAATAATTCAAGCCACCAGAAAGGAAGGACCGTGACACGCAGAGTGCACATACCATGACTGTTGTGTAGAGACTTTATCTTGGCAATTCGACAGGGATTTAACTGAAGAACTGATGTAAGCTCACATGCTCCTTGGGTGGTCCTGGCTTTCATTTTCAGTGGCTCATGAGAAGTAGTATCCTAAGATAAAGATAATTATTAACACCCAGACGAACACAGCCATTTTTATTAGAAAATCCAAGTATATGTAAAACAAACCTTCATGTCATCACAAAGATTGTCCATTTCCGAACTTTCATGTGGATGTAGAGGGATTTTGAAGACAGCGTTTTCTTCTTTTATTGGTAATGATGTTTTCTCATCTGGAGAGGGTTCCCTCAAAGTCTGGGGTGTGCACTCCTGCAAACAGGGATCCTCTGGGGAATCTTTGGGTAGCACATAGCTCCCATTCAAGACCTTACGATTGGAGGAAGAGCCCTTCGGAATGGGTTTCAAAGCCTCATAAAGGGTCACTTGCCTAAATTTGTTTTTAGTGGTCTCACTTCCTTGGCTTTTCTGACACTGTATAGCTGAAAACCGATCAGACAGATCCAGAGGTTTATCCATCATATACTCTCTGCGGCTGGAAACATCACTATCCACTGGAAAAGCATTTTCTTTATCAAAAGAAGCTTGGGGATAGCTTATTTCATGTTCACTTTCTTCCTCGGGTTTCTTCCTCTTGGATGTTCTGCTTCCCAGTGGTTTCAAGGGCACCAGGGGTTTATCAGTGACGCCCTCTTTACGATGATCAGTACTGTCTTGAGTACCTACAGACTCGCTGACACGCTTAAGTATGAGCATCTGTTTATTAGAACATAACTGGCTAACGATCATGTTCTCTTTAGATCCAACATCAGGATGTGTGAAAAGGCCACTATTTTCAGATATTGATCTAATTTTCTCTGGCCTAGGATTAGAAATATTGTTGAAAGATGCTATTCTCAGATGTTTTTTTCCTCCAAACTCTAGAAGAGAAGGGGATAAACTCGTATTCAAACCTAAACTAATTTTCACATGAGAAGTGGGACCAAACACAGGCGATGATGCCCGAGTAGTTGATTCTTCTTGGCGAGAAGTCTTGGCAGTAGACTCTGAAAATCTAAACACAGGAGAATCAGAAAATTTATTTCTTTTAAAAAAGTAAAAATTAAAACATAATCAGACATCATTTAATACAGAATTATTCACCATAAGGTCTTATCTATCTACTACAGGCAGAAGATTAACTAAAATTTGAGGAAGGAAGGAATACTATTGGTTTTGCCTGCCAAAAAACCAGAGGAAAATGGAAGCGGCAACGTGTCTCAATACCATGATTTTCTTAACACTTTTTCCTAGGTGACTTAAATAATTTCACAATATGAAAAAATTGTATAATAAACCCCACTGGTAAATCAAATTTCTTTGTTGTTCCAAATCTTTGTCTTAAAAACAAAGTTCTTCGGCTATCAAAAGATATAGCATCTGGGGTCTTCAAGGCTTGCAGGTAAACAAGCAGCCATCTCGCTCAGAAGCAACAAAGCCCACATGGAAGAAGCACACTAGCCTGTGTGACCACAAGGTGTAGAAGGGTCCAGGTATCAGACATCAAAGAACAAAAAATCATATCAGTGGGTGCCCACCCTCCTGATATGATCACTGAAGAAAAATGTGTGCATAAGCAAATGTCGTGAAGAAAGCTGATGGTGCCTGGCTATCAAAAGATATAGTGTCTAGGGTCTTAAAGGCTTGAAAATAAACAAGCGGCCATCTAGCTCAGAAGCAACAAAGCTCACATGGAAGAAGCACACCAACCTGTGTGACCACGAGGTGTCAAAGGGATCAGGTATCAGGCATCATCAGAACAAAAAATCACATCATTGTAAATGAGGGTGAGTGCAGAGTGGAGACCCAAAGCCCATCTGTAGGCAACTAGACACCCCCTTACTGAGGGGTTGCGGGGAAGAGACGAGCCAGTCAGGTTGCAGGGTAGCAATAGTGAAACATATAACTTTCCTCTACTTCTTAAATGCTTCCCAATTCTACCTTACTAATCTGGCTAGACCAGAGGATGTACATTGGTAAAGATAGGAACTGGAAATCCAGGGAATCCAGGGCGGATGATCCCTTCAGGACCAGTGCTGAGAGTGGTGATACCTGGAGGGTGAGGAAAGGTGGGATAGAAAAGGGGAACTGATTGCAAGGGTCTACATATAGCCTCCTCCCTGGGGGATGGACAACAGAAAAGTGGGTGAAGGGAAATGTCGGACAAATATGACAAAAAATAATAATTTATAAATTATCAAGGGTTCGTGAGGGAGGGGGGAGTGGGGAGGGGGAAAATGAGGAGCTGATATTAAGGGCTCAAGTAGAAAGCAAATGTTTTGAGAATGATGATGGCAACAAATGTACAAATGTGACTGACACAATGGATGTATGCATGGATTGTGATAAGAATTGTATGAGCCCCCAATAAAATGATTTAAAAAAACAAAACAAAACAAAAAAACTCCAAAGTTCTTACATTACAGAACCAAAGAGAAATTAAGACCCAGCTTGCTTCCTAGCAGAGGCAGGTATAATGAGCACTAGGTTTATGTTTAAAAACATGGGTGGATAAGAACTCTGGCTCTAACACATGACAGCTTTGTGGCATTACTTAAGACATTTAACCTCTCTGGAACTGCATTTTTGGCATCTGTAAAAAAACAAGCAAACGAAAAACCAACAAAGGAGTAATAAACACTATTTTGATTAAGTTACTATAAGGGATAAAATATATGTATTAAAAGCTGTTTTGAATTACAACACACTACATAACATACATATTACTAAATATATGTTCTGAAATTAGTAAAAACGTTGAAAATTCATCTTATCTTAAAGATGCATTTTGTGCCATATCTAGATTTTGTAACTAATTAGGAAATATAAATCCAGAAGAATGACGGTTTTTAAAAAGGCGAAACAACAGGCCTGGGAACTCTTTAGCTGTTACTCCATAAAAGCATAAAATGTATCTAAAAGTAACAACCACTAAACTCTACTATTAGGGGGAAAGAAATGTCCTAATTGGCCATAAACTAGAGGAAATTTTTAAAATAAAAATTTAATCAAAATAATAAACTTTATGAACTCATTGTAGTCGGATCTCAAAAGAAGCTTATTTAAAAATGAAAACCACCAGTGCCCCAAAGTACCTTAAACCATCTCCATTATTTCTTGCAGATTCCTCCAAAGGCTGTTTCTTGTGATCTTCTTCCAGACAGTGGTAGAAGTCATCGTCCAGAGGGCTCATGGGACGCTGCGAGTCCTTCAGTGGTAAAATATGAAGCATATACACATGGGAGATTACTCAACTTTAAGAAGTACTGACACATGCTACAACATAGATGAACCTTAGAAATATTATGCTAAGGAGAAGTGATATATAAAAGATCACATATTGTACACGATTCCATTTTTATAAGATATCCAAACTAGATAAATTCATAGACACAGATAGCAGATTAATTGTTGTTAGAGGTTGTGGGTCGAGAGGTTTTTGAGTTAATGGATATTGAGTTTCTGTATCAATGAAGAAAATGCTTTGTAGTTACAAATCACTGTAAATGTATTAAGTATTACTGAATTGTATACTTTAAAAAGCATCAATGTTTTAATATTTTCCACATTACATTCTATTTTGGGTATATAAAACTCTAATATTAAAATTAAACATTATTAACATCAGTAGAAGGGAACAGATATTCGGGCGATTCAAAAAGTTTATAGAAAAATGAAATGAAAACATTAAAGAAAATTTCCATGAACTTTTTGAAGCCTTGCTGTATATTTCTGAGAGAAAGACGGGCTGTCCCCTCTCCCGTATAGAGTTACCATCTAAGAAAGCCACAGGGGCAGTTCTACCGAGTCCTGGAAGGTCACTATGATCAGCATGGACTCGATGGCAGTGACTTTGTTTTGTATATGTATACTACAGATGAATTGTAAAAGGTGAAAATACACACATCAACGGGGGATTCCTGTACATTCTCTTTCACCAGGTGTGCAGTACGGTATGAGATGATCTCTAATAACCTTCAAGAGTATGTAAATCTGTTGGCCTTTGAATCACTTTGAGCAGCAAGTATTAGATAGATCAGTTCCCTTAATACATCTGGTGTTCAACAGAGGTCACTGTTCCCTTACATTGATGTGAATTATGTTGAATTTTGATATTAGAGTTTTATATACCCATAATAGAATGAACTGTGAAAAATATTAAAACAGTGTAAACCACTGATTTGCCAGATTTATATGTAGGAGCAACTTAGAAATTATTTATATACATTTAAAGTTTAAGGGCTAAAAAACTATTATCACCTGAAAAACGGACCTGAAACTAGGAAGAACAAAACTTTCAACAGAATGAAAAGCCAATTCAATTTAAAAACGACAGGGCAAGACAATTTTAAGACATAAACATTTACTGACCAGAGCAAAATTACACTGTTTTTAAATTATATTCTAAAAACACATAAAGATTGAAGAATTTAAGTCTTCTATTTCCTAGGGAATTAAGAAAAATAGAAATGTACCTGACATAAACATGGTATTTTATTTTTTTCCCCCAGTTCTTTTACGATTTTAATAGTTTAACAAAAACAAAAGATACCCCAAAGTTTAAAAAAATTGTTGAAAAATATAGTTTAATATTATTTACATATCACATGAATATGAGTTCCAAATATCATACAAACATTGCTACGAGAGAAACACGTGGGGAGCATGACACAAATCATGGACTCCTGGATGGCATGGTATTTTCAATCACCTCCTATGTGTGTGAAAGTTTGATACTGAATAAGGACGCCTGAAGAATTGAGGTGCATTTGAATTACGGTGCTGGTGAAAATATTCAAAGTATTACGGACTGCACAAAGAACAAACATCTGTCTTGCAAGAAGCACAGCCAGAATGATCCTTAAAAACAAGGATGCTCTTCTTTTGGATAGCTAATAAAATGCCCTACTGGTGATGTAGGATAAGCCTTGGGCTGCCAACCACACAATTAGTGGGTTCAGCTACATCAGGTGCTTTGTGAGAGAAAGAAGAGGCTCTCTCCTCTCGTAAAGATCTACAGTGTTGGAAACCCTATGGTCACTATGAGTTATAACTGACTCAATAGCAATAGGCTTGGGGTTTTGTTCAGATGTAACGAAGTGGGGAAGAGGGATGATCAAACCCTGTACGTTATCATTACTATCTTAACATTTTTAAAATAACTGATCTCATTTAAAAACTGAGAATCTATACTACATGTACAATTCAATGACAATGATTAAATTCAATTTGTACAACTATTTCACCCTCCTTTCCTGAGCTGTTACTCCCTTATTAACATACACACTGGGGTCTTTAAGTTTTGCATGTACTTTTTTCAAGTTGCTATTGTCAATTTAATCCCATATAGACAAGTCTTAAAATAGCTGGGTGCTCAAGGCAGACATTCTTTACTGTTGCTGTCAGATGTCATCGAGTTGGTTCCACCCAAGAGCTACCCCATGCACAACAGGATGAAACACTGCCCTGTCCTCCCCCATCCTCAGAATTCTTCCCATGCTTGACCCCACTGTGGCATCCACGCTGTCCATCCATCTCCTTGAGTGCCTGCCTCTTTTTCACTGCTCCTCTACTTTCCCAAACATGATGCCCTTCTCCAGGGACTGGTCTCTCCTCCTGACAAGAAGTCCAAAGCATGTAAGTTGAAGTTTACCATCCTTGCCTCTAAGGAGCACTGAGGCCTTACTTCTAAGACAGACTGGCTTGTCCTTTTAGCAGTCCATGGTAATTTCAATATTCCTCTCCAGCACCGCAATTCAAATACATCGATTCTTCTTCAGTCTTCTTGCCTCTTGATCTATCCTTTAACAGTTAGGCTAAATTAATGTTTGGTTTAAGAAGAATTCATGGGAAACTTTTGGTTTAAGATTTAAAGATTATCTCAGGGCAATAATTTCTGGGGTTCCCCTGGCCTCCATTGCTGCAAAAAGTCTGGCGCTCGAGTTTTAAATTCTGTCCTGCATTTCTTATCTTTTAGTTAGACACTCTGGTCCACATGTTTAATAATGGTATCCAGGTATCCATCTAGTTCTGATCTCCTGGAAAATGAGGTACATTTCACATTGTCCTCCAATTCCTGCCTCTCCTTCTTCCTTTGATGCTCTAAGCAAATAGATACCAATCACATATTTTGGATGGCTGCTTGATGCTTTTAAGAAATATGTAATGAAATAAGAGGTAGAAGACAAGCACTATGCAGTGAAACACGAGATAGAAGGCTGATTAATTGGGATGTCCCATGAAATCATGGCCCTAAACTTGCAAACCAAGGAATCAAATCCCATGAGTGTTTGGCTGTACATAAGCCGTCTCCGTAGCTACTCTTTTTATTTTCATTTTAAAAATATCTATGTAATTACAAAATTAATTTAATTAATTTATCTAATATATCTAATCACAAAATAAATTTAATTCAAGGCCTTTATCTACAATATCTAGACAACATTTTTTTTCTCTTGCTCAAATCTCTAAAAGTTGAGTTAATCCATATTATCACTGTGCTAGACAATTACTTACAGATTCTTCTTGAACACCAACTTCAAGTGTTTCAGCAACAACTGTGGCTAAATTAAAAGATGACTTATCAGTGGAGTAACTATTTGTTCCATGTGTTTCTAAATAGGTAAAAAACAAAACAAAAATCATACAATTATCAAGTATACAACTAGATACATTAAAAAGTATCCAAAATTGAAAAGTAAAAGAGGTAGCAGATGGACATCGGGCCTCCACTCAAGTACTCCCCTCCATGTAAGAACACTTTGTCCTATTAAATTGACATTCCACGATGCTCACCTTCCCAACATGATCACTGAAGACAAATGTGTCCATAAGCAAATGTGGTGAAGAAAGCTGCTGGTGCCCAGCTATCAAAAGATATAGTGTCTCGGGTCTTAAAGGCTTTAAGATAAACAAGGGGCCATCTAGCTCAGAAACAACAAAGCCTACATGGAATAAGCACACCAGCCTGTGGGACCACGAGGTGTTGAAGGGATCAGGTATCAGGCACCAAAGAACAAAAAATCATATCATTGTGAATGAGGGGAAGTGCAGATTGGGGACCCAAAGCCCAATGCCCAACTGGGCATCCCCTGACAGAAGGGTCACGGGGAGGAGATGAGCCAGTCTATAGCAACAATGAAACATACAACTTTCCTCTAGTTCTTAAATGCTTCCCCCACCCACCCACTATCATATCCCAATTCTACCTTCCAAATCTGGCTAAACCAGAGGATGTACACTGGTAAACTCAGAGAATCCAGGACAGATGATCCCTCCAGGACCACTGATAAGAGGGGCGATACCGGGAGGGTGAAGGGAAAATGTGCTAGAAAGGGGGAATGATTATAAGGATCTATATATAACCTCCTCCCTAGGGATGGACAATGGAAGAGTAGGTGAAGGGAGACATTGGACAGTGTAAGATATGACAAAATAATAATTTATAAATTATCAAAGGTTCATGAGGGAGGGGGGTGGGAGGAGGGAGGGAAAAATGAGGAGCTGATACCATGGACTCAAGTAAGAAGCAAATGTTTTGAGGATGAGGACAACAAATGTACAAATGTGATTGACATATAATGGATGTATGTATGGATTGCGATGAGTTGTACGAGCCCCCAATAAAATGATTTAAAAAAAAGTCAAAGAATCACTTACAAGATGGCACCAGAAACATTTTTTTAAGTCCAAAACAGGACAATAAAATATTAATGAACTCTAGGTACTAGAACCCACTCTTGTTAATATTATTTCCCAATATGAAAAAAATTACAAAAAGATTACTAAAATTATATGAAAAATATTTTTCAAAATTGTCTGGTTCAGACTTTTGGTACTCCTGTCTACCATTACTATAAACTATAATCTTATAAAGTAAATAATTTTCTTACTAGCCATGGGAGGTTGACTTTGATTGCAACTGTCAGCGACCAGAATTTCACTTTCATTAGGGTTCTGTTGTAGATGAGTTGAAGACTTTGGATCTTTTTTCAGCTCTGAGGGAAAAATGGGAAGAAATTATATATAAACAAAGACTGAAGAATGATGCTATCACATTTTGATCAATCCTGTCGTTGAGTCAATGCAGACTCAGAGCAAACCTCACAGGACAGAACTGCCCCTTAGGGTTGCCAAGGGTACAACCTTTATGAAAAATTATCACCACTTCTCTCCCCAATGAAGCTACTAGTGGTTTTGAACTGTTGAACTTTCTGTTTAGGATTGTTGACATTAGCAGCTTTAACTAACATAAACCCGTCTTTAAATACATTACAAGCAATATAATGTTTTTATAATGTTCATATGCTAAGAAGTAAGCTCTTCACCAAGAAACTGAGCTGGAAGTTAAGATTACTAGAGAGAGTATAGGAATACATACACCTTTCTAATTCTAGTAGAAACCTTTTACTACTTCCTTTCCCAGTGTATTTGTCATAAAACAATATGTTCATTTGAAATGTATACTGTATTGCATGTCTAGAGAATCTTTCAGGGGTTTTATTTTCTGAGGGGGAAACTCCTGACACACATGCTTATCATTCAGCTTCCTAAGACTTCACTCAAAGAAAATCCATCAAATGACAATGTACAGGGAAAAAGAGTGCTAGTAATTAAAAATAGGCAATAATATTAAAAAGCACTATAAACTTTTAAGATAAATAAGCAAGAGTAGTTCAAAGAAGAAAAGGGCCGGTCAATCAGTCAAATACTTTCCATGGCTTGAAAGTTATTTATTTTTACTTGGAATCTGAAATTCTAACTTTATCTTTTAAATCCAAAATTCTAGATTCCAGGAAAAAATGATCAGAATAGGACAAAAACATTTTGAGAATGATGATGGCAACAAAGGTACAAATGTGCTTGACACAATGGATGTATGTATGGATTGTGATAAGAGCTGCATGAAACCTCAATAAAATGATTAAGAAAAAAGACCAAACAGACAAATTAGGTTTTAAAAGTTATGCTATTTTAAAATAGTTACACATTGCATTTAACCAAAAGCATTTAGAACTAATACAAGGCTTTCCTAAAAAAAAGTTATGATTTGTTTCCTGAATATATTTACAAATTTAAACTCAATCAAAATTATACAGATGTTTATCTGTAATTGATTCTTGTCCTGTTTGACAACAGACTAAAGTTCCAAGGATGTTCACTCTAGATCTCCTAACTACAAGTAAGGTCTTTGATAATTCTTCTGCTTTCCACTAGATGGTGACACAAGCTCAAATAAAATGGGGGAAATTCCAGGAATACTTATGCAGCAATACTGAGGCTGCTTGTTAGGTGACTTTGAGCATGTTACTTAACATCTCTAAGCCTTGCTTTCTCACCCGTAAAACAAAGGTGGAAATAGCTACCTCCCAAGACTGTTAGGAAAATTAAAACGTATTAATAATGTATGCAAAGTACCCAGAATAAACAATAAATGGAAATTAATGTTAAGTTCTTGTCCTCTTATTTTACTCAGATATATACACATACATAGAGGAAAAGGAATCATTCACTATATTAGTAAAATGATAAACAATGCATGCCCATATATAATAAATCATTTTATTGGGGGCTCATACAACTCTTATCACAATCCATCCATCCATCCATCCATCCATCCATCCATCCATCCATCCATCCACTGTGTCAAACACATTTGTACATTTGTTGCCATCATCATTCTCAAAACATTTTCTTTCCACTGGAGCCCTTGGTATCAGCTCATTTCCACACTCCCCCCCTTCCTCCCCACCCAACCTCTCTCATGAACCCTTGATAATTTATAATTATTTTTTTAAAAATTTTTAAATAAAATTTTAGAAATTTAATAATTTTAAAATATTTTTTTATTTTAATAAAAATAAAAATAATTTTAAATTATTTTTTCATGTCTTATACTGGCCAATGTCTCCCTTAACCCACTTTTCTGTTGTCCACCCTCCCACACCAGGGAGGGGGTTATATGTAGATCATTATGATCAGTTCCTCCTCTCTCCCCCCACCTATCTTTCCCTTACCCTCCTGGTATCGCTACTCTCATTATTGGTCCTGAGGGGTTTATCTGTTCTGGATTCCCTGTGTTTCCAGCTCTGATCTGTATCAGTATACATCCTCTGTTCTAGCAGCATTTGTAAGGTAGAATTGGGGTCATGAAAGTGGAGGGGAGGAAGCATTAAAAAACTAAAGGAAAGTTGTATGTTTCATCGGTGCTACACTGCAACCTGATTGGCTCGTCTCCTCCCCGAGATCCTTCACAGGCAAGAGCTTTAATACATTCATTTGTAATGTAAGTTACTTAAATAAAGACTAGCTTCTATTCCATTTGAACAACATAGAAATCAAACAAACAAACACATCATTTTCACAAAACCAGTTAACTCTAACACAATGCTATTCTTACCATTTGTGGACACAGAGTGCTCTAATTTAGCATGTGTTTGTTCCATGTATCGAACATGGAGATTCTCCTTTCTTCGCAGTCGGTTACCCCCAGAGTAGGAAAAAGCTGTTATTGGGGAATCTGGAATAACTTCTTCCTCAGATTCAAGTTCACTTGCTTGATGCAGTTGATCATTCCTGGAGGAAAATAATGGCAATTAAAGGAAAGTTTAATTCAACAAGCGTTTATTAAAACATCCATGACCCAGAAGAAATTATCCTAATCCTTTAAAAACTTTCCCTATAGAGGAAGAAACACTGTCTAACACATTCTACGGAACTAGAACTACTTTGACACCAAAGTCCGACAATGACACCGCAGAAGAGAGTATTGTAGACTAGTAACCCGTAAGCCACAGAGGAAAGAGAAACGCTAGTCAGTTTATATGCATGGAGGAGCGAGAGCTCAGGAGGATGAGAATGGTTGCACCACGTGAAGAATGGACTCAATGTCACGGAGTTAAACACAGAAACTACAAAATTTGTGTATGGATATTCTTAATAACAAAATTAAATCCAGAAGGAAGACAAAAATATAGATGTAGGTATCCTCCCAAATATTAGCAAACAAAACCCAAAGCTGTTTTTAAAAAAGGATTATATACCATCCCTGAGTGAGATTTACCCAGAAGTCCAAAAGTGGTTCAACGATAGAAAGCCAGTCAATGTAGTATACCACATTAACAGAACACACTCATCCTCATTGGACAAAATGCAATACCTTTTCATAACAAAAATCTCAACAAGCCCTGACTAAATATGATAAAGAATATTTATGAAAACCCCACAGCTAACACCATAATCAGTAGAGAAAAACTTTAAAGTAGTCCCTTTAAGATCGTTCTCATCACTGCTAAGTTAAGTTCTACCCAGTGTCATTAGGGGAGAAATAAAAACAAACAAACTGTCCTTGAGTCAATACTGACTCTTAGTATGCAAATTGGGAAGAAGCAAACTTATCCCTCTCTTTGATGAGATATGATCCATTAAGTCTGGTTTCATTGAGTTTGAGGTTCTGGTCCACACCTTGCCTCTTTTTGATCACGATTCACCTATTGGGTGGATCAGTAATGGTAGCAAGGCACCATCCACTTCTTCTTTAATTTAAAAAATCATTTCATTGGGGACTCTTACAACAATCCATACATCAATTGTATGAAGCACATTAGTACATATGTTGCCATCATCATTTCTAAAACATTTTCTTTCTACTTGAGCCCTTTGTATCAACTCCTCTTTTTGCCCCTCCCTCCCTCCCGAACCCTTGATAATTTATACATTATTTTTATTTTCATATTTTACACTGTCCACTGTCTCTCTTCACCCACGTTTCTATTATTTGTCCTGGGGTAGGGAGGGGGTGGTGGAGGGTGTTGTACATCAATCATTGTGATCAGTTCCCCCTTTTTGCCCTCACCTCCCCCCTACCCTCATGGTATCACTACTCTCATTATTGGTCCTGAGGGGTTTATCTGTCCTAGATTCATGTATTGAGAGCTCTTATGTGCACCAGTGTGCCTGCTCTGGTCTAGTCAGCTTTGTAAGGTAGAACTGGGATCATGAAAGTGGGGGGAAGGAAGCATTAAAGAACTAGAGAATGTTGTGTTTCCTCGGTGCTATACTGCACTCTGGGTGGCTCATCCCTTCCTTGTGACCCTTCTGTGAGGGGACGTCCAATTGTCTCGAGATGGGCTTTGGGTCTCCATCCCTACTCCCCTCATTTGCATCAAAATGGTTGCTTGTTTTGGGTCTTCTGATGTCTGCTGTCTGATCCTGTTGACACCATGGTGTGATCACACAGGCTGGTGTGCTTCTTCTATGAAGGCTTTGTTGCTTACCACCTAGATGGCCGCTTGTTTAACTTCAAGCTTTTAAGACCCCAGATGCTATATCTATCTTGTAATAGCCAGGCACCATCAGCTTTCTTCACATTAGCTTATGCACCCATTTTGTCTTCAGGGATCTTGTCAGGCAGGTGAGCATCACAGAATGCCAGGTTACTAGAACAAAGTGTTCTTGCATTGAGGGAGTACTCAAGTAGAGGCCCAATGTCTGTTTGTTACCTTAATACTTATCAACCTATAAATATACGTACATAGACCTATATCCCTATCATTATGTATTAATATATTTACATATGTACATGTTCTATGAATGTCTTTTGCCTCTTAGTTCTTTCCTCTATTTCCTTCTCCTTTCCTCCTGTCCCACTATCATGTTCGATCTTCATTCGGCTCTCTGAACTTCCTCTCAGCTACACTACATTTGATCAAACCCCAACAGGCATTTTATGCCCTCTTTGCTACCGATTTTAGATCTCTTGCTGTTCCCCTGTCCCTACAAAAGGACAAATCTTAGCCCAAATGTCATACCACCACTGAGGAAAACTAAATGAAAACCGATCAAGGACCTTCATGTAAGAGCTGAAATCGTAAAACTCTTAGAAGCCATTTGAATAATGCTGAGACGTCAACCATTTAATGCTTTCTTAGATATGACGATGACACTGAAAGAATGAGCAACAAAAGACAACGCCGGTGAGACCACAGCAACATTAGACACAACTTCTGTCCCTTGAAAGACTTTGTTAAAATGTAATAACCTCCCAACTGAGAAAATTGTGGGAAATAATATAGCCAATAAAGTTTCAAGATTAAGAATAAAGAACTCTTATTATTAGACAATTAAATGAAAGCAATTCTATCAAAAAGGAGACAAAGGGCTTACATAGGCCCCTCACCTAAGGAAAATTCAAATAGCTACTCAATGGTCATCAGAAAAATGCTAATCAAAACCACAATGAAGTATCACTCCATACCCTCTTTGTTGACTGTGATTAGAAAATAAGAAAATAGGTGCTGGCAAGGAAATAGAGGAATTGGACTCCTAATCCACAGGTCCTATGCTTGTAAAATTGTACAGCCCCCACGGAAAATAGTTTGGTAGTTTCTCAAAAACGTTAAGCAAAGAATTAGCACATGATACAGGTAATTGCAATTGTAGCTAAGTATCTAAAAGAATAAAGCATGGTAAGTAACAGAAACATAGCTAACTAACATTATCTGTTGAGTGTTAACATTGTCATGAAGTGTTAATATATTGCAACTCTATGAAGTATTGTTATTTCATTTTACAGGTAAAGAAATAGACACAAAACTCCAGTCATATACTAAAGCAGTAAGCAACAGAGCCAAGATTTGAATCTACACAGCCATATTTTGGCGATCATCCTGAAATCTACTGAATGTGTTATCTCTGCATGGCTCAGGACCTTAAGGACTGGCAGGCCAGCTTCAAAGTTGAGTTTCTGCCACTCTTTCTATCCATGTATTTTTACAACCTCTTCTCAAAATCCTCTGAAATCTTACATTACATTGAAGCTTAAAGCCATACCACATCTCACCCATTTCACTGGTAACATAAGCCAACTCTCCTACATAATCTAATTGCCTCCTATTTTCCCAAAACTGTCTTTTCCTAGTGTCACCCACATTTGTTTCCTTAATGTTTATAGCAGTTAGACTTTACGTCAATTCACCCCTGCGTGAAAGTACAGGGGTGGGATCCCATACATCAATCAGGCCACAGCCTGATGATGCCTCCTGAGGAGTGAGGCCTTTATAGAAGAGAGACACTGGGGCCTTCTCTTGCTGCGTGTGGGCTGCTGACCTAGGGAGCCAGTCTCAGAGCTGTCAGCGCCCTGCCATGTTCCCACCTATTTTGGATCCACAGGTCTCTGCCTGTGGTCTTGCTTCCCACTTCATCTTTCTGCATTATCACTGTGCTGCTACATGAGTCTGAAGAGGGTCCAGGCTAACACTGAGCTCATGGGCTTGAAAGCTGAACTGGCTAGGACGCCCTCTTGATATAAAGCTCTTTCATATATATGTATATATGAATGTCACTGGTTTTGTTTCTCTAGACCAGTGGTTCTCAACCTTCCTAATGCCATGACCCTTTAAAACAGTTCCTCATGTTGTGGTGACCCCCAACCATGAAATTATTTTCATTGTTACTTCATAACTGTAATTTTGCTACTGTTACAAATTGTAATGCAAATGTCTGAGATGCAGGATGTATTTTCATTGTTACAAATTGAACATAATTAAAGCATAGTGATTAATCACAAAAATAATATGTGATTATATATTGTGAAATATTGTGTTTTCAAATGGTCTTAGGCGAGCCCCGTGAAAGGGGTCGCAACCCACAGTTCGACAACTGCTGCTCTAGACAATCCAGCCTAACACAATTTTCCTTAAATACATCACGTAAGTCCTTTACTCTGATTGTTCACTCTGTTAGAATGTTTCCCTCTGGATCGCCACATGGCTGAAAATGTACTTCTTCATCAAGACTTATCTTAACTACTATTCAAAATTGTGACTCCCTTCCCACACTCTAGTACTGTTATCCCTTCTTGTATAGCTCCATTACCATATTGTAGCATTTAATGCTTTCTGATATACTGTATTGATGAATTATGTCTATTGCTCACCTGCTAGAATATAAACTCTACGCGGGCAAAGCCTTTGGTTTCCTGAAGTATCTCAAGAGCCTAGAAACAGTGCTTGGAGAATTAGTAGGTGTGTCGATACTTGTTGAATGAATGAGTATGACGAGTATTTGTTGAATGAGTGTGACAGATTAGATGTTCCACTAAAGATAGAGACTTATGTTAATCTAAGAATATGCTCTTGAACAACTCAATTCAGGACTAATAGCATCTTAAGATCTGGTTTGAAATGAACTGTAGTTACTGAGGAAAAGGAAGCTAACTGTCTTTTCCATGTCGAGATCATGAGAGATCTATATGACAACATATTCTTACCAGTCAGGCACCTAGATTTTTATTACAAAACCAGTCTATCCTAGTATTCTCATATCAACTTGTAATGCTATTTCCAACCAAAGCACAGCATGAAAACATTACAAACCACAGCCAACAGCTGCTACTTCTCTGTCAGTTTGTCATCCTGTGGTGGTTTATGTGTTGTTCTCATGTTGGAAGCTATGCCACCGCTATTTCAAATACCAGCAGGGCTACTCAAGGTGGACAGAGCTCAGTGATGCTCGCAAACTAAGAACAGACTAAGAAGAAGAAAAGCTGTGCACTTCTGATGGATTCACCTCTGAAAACCTTATGAAGAGCAGTGGACACTGTCAGATATCCTGAAAACCTTCTGGCTGCGGCAGCACATTCTCAACAGTGGGCTCAAACGTAACAACTGGGAGGATGGCACAGGCAGTGCGTTCACCTGTTAGGCATATGGGTCGCTGTGAGTTGGAATCAACTTGAATGCTACCGAACAACATAACCAGGAGAAATATATTCAATACTGTAGAAGACAGGGATTCATTCTTCCTAAAGATTCATACCTTAATGTTTTAAAGTATAGGATTATTTGTGGTCTACAACCCTATACCCTAAATGAAGGAATAAAGTTTAGAACTAATATCTAATTTTCAATCTCTAATTATACTGTCTTACTCTGGAAAAAGAGAGTAAGCCAAAGTCATATGAGAAAGTCTTATAAATTAATGGAGTGTAAAATCTATCTGACCTCTCTTTAACTAATCACGTCACAGCCTATCTGCTTATTATTCATAAAAATTCAACCTGAAACATGAATGAGTCACAAGCAGAAACAGATTTCCTGGCAGAGTCTATACAGAATAGCTGGGATAACCAACAGGGGTGGGGATGGGGGTGTCAGACACTAGCTGTAACCAGGAGCCTGCAAACTAAGTACACATGCTAGTTTTGACCTTTGTCCTTGGGTCATAAAAGAAAAAAAAAAGAGAGGGGAAAATAAAATCAATTCCCACGCCTTAACCAAGTTTCTTCTTTAAGCATAAGGTTTTAAATCTGATTTTCTGAGAAAGTTTACATGATTTTTATTTAATTACTTATGCACATTGGCTCCTTCTAATACCCCAAATGTAAAATCTTTTGTTTGCAAGACTGTAGAAATTCCTAACAAATGTTTAGTTATCCCCCACCCCCCCAAAAAAACCCCAAACCTCACGATCTAGGGTTTGTCTTCATGAAAACCAAACCCAAACTAATTGCCAACTCATAGTAACCGTACAGGACAGGCGTTTCCAGACTGTTAACTCTTTATGGGAGTAGGAAGCCCAGTCTTTCTCCTGTCTGTTGGCTTCGAACTGCTGACCTTACAGATCACCCAATGTATAACCACTACGCCACCAGGGCTCCTTTATCTTCGTAAGGCGTTTAACATTCAGCTGTTCTCCTCTACTTTAAAGAACTTATATTTTCAATTAAAATACAACTGAATTTATCTTTAGTTTATACAGCAAAGTAAAATGAAGATAGAAAAGTTGGAAAAACACTCAATTTTCTGAAGCAATCAGTGAAACATACTCACTCAATCCGCTGTTGCAGCTGTTTAGAAAGCTTTTTATTTTCTTCCTGCAGAGCATTCTTTTCATTCACTTAAATGTGAAAGAGGAGCACAGTTAATGTGATGTGATTACGAAGGCACAGAACAATTACATTAACACCTATGACAGACATTTTTGATAAAATATTCAACAATTATGAAGAAATTAAATCAGGAATTCCAATTTTGTCATAATGCTAGACAAGGACGATGCTACTGTGTAAAATTAATTTGTTATTAGGTAGTATGCACAGGGGAACTAACTGATCCATAGTTTTCAGAAGGAGATTGCTGGCCTTACTTATGAGGTGACTCTGGGTCGGCTTGAACCACCAATCTCTGGTGAGTCCCCAGCATTTAACTAGCTGAACTATCCAGGGACTCCCAAGTAGTGGTTACGGTATCTCACAATGTACTCGTTTCGCTAAGACTGACAATTTTAGGTGATGCCTATATGCAAAAAAGAAAGATTAGCCCATATCGGTGGGAGTTTAGTTTATTTATACTGAGAACAAGACAAGATTCCATTTGGTTACTCAATCCTTTTAATTTCAAATCTCAATTTTCTGAGAATTACTTATCTTGAAATAAATCAGATCATAAAAGCAATGCAACAATGAACAGCAGTGTAATTTTTATAACATATACAAGTCAACTATTCTTTAGTAGTATAATTTCTTTCATGAATTAATATGGGATGAGATCTATTTAAAAATAGATCTGTTTGTTTGACTCCCTCTACTAAATTTTCCCATCCCTACTTATTTATGGAGGTGTAGTGTTTATATGCTGGGCTACTAACTGCAAAGTCAACAGTTCCAAACCTCCAGCCATTCAGAGGGGCTTTCTACTCCTGTAAACCATTACAGTCTTGGAAAGCCACAGCCTCAGTTCTACCTTGTTCACCAGGGTTGCGATGAGTCAGCATCTCCTCCACTGCACTGAGTTTGAGTGTGCTATCTATGTTCCATTTGTGCTGGATTGAGAGAACTGTCAAAGTATGCTATCACTCCTGCCCCCTGCCCAGAGTCTATCATGTTTTATATCGTGTTGTTTTCTTCCTACTCTGCCTGGTTTCATTTTTCCTAATTAATTTTGAGAGTATTTGTGTTCTTATTCCATTTTTACATGATCCTTTACCAGTTAGTTTTGTTTTTAACCATTTACTTTTATTCCTTTTGGTAGCCTTAGCATTTTATCAAAGCTGTCCTAAAGTACAGACTTACTAGCTTAACCAATAACTTATATACCACACGAGGCCCTTAGTACTTTTAATCTCATAATACTGTGTCTGGGACTTTATTTTGATAACTTCTGCTGCTTGTTTTGCTTTCCAGAGTTCCTCTGTGATCGTCCTGCTGGTATCCTTGCTGCGAGGGCCTTCCGGTCGACTCTGACTCACAGAGCCCAGGAGCTGGAGTGGAACAGCTCCACAGAGTTCCCTTGGCTATGATTTTATGGAGGAATATCACCAGCTCTTTCTCCCCAGGAGTCACTGGGTAGGTTTCCGTTAGCAGCCGAGTACTTAACCCTTTAGTCTACGTATTTCCTAGCCCTCTCCACTGCATAGGTCCCCCCAAACAATGGCTCTTGGTTTGTATGTTTGCGCAAAAAACAAACAGCATTGAAAAGTAAAATAGAATGTAACTACCTGTGTGGAAATAAGTATATATATATGTAATATTCATAAATATATTTGGTAAGTATATGTAGTTACATATTCATAAGCATATATATTTGTAGTATTCATTTATATTATAATCCAATACCAAAAATTTTGAAAATCTGTAAGAAATCGCCAATTTCTACAAAATCAAATCTCTTTAAATTAACTCAAGAAAAGCTGGATACAATAACCCAAGAAATAAAAAAACAGTCACAGTCTAATGCTAAAAAAAAAATTTTTTTTTAATTTAAAGACACCCTGTAATAAATATTCAAGGACTGATTATTTTCAGTTATTTAAAACACAAGAACATGATGAAAATTAAGAGCATCTCGCTGATTTCTTAAACCTTAAACCCCGAGGGCATGGGTAAGCAGAAACAGTAACAATATAAATGTACACCAAATAAATATTAATGTTAACAAACCTATCGATCTTAAAATTGAGTCACTGGCTCAGCACTGAAAATCTATCAACAGAACTCACTACATTAACATATTAGAAAGAAAAAAAGCACCCCAATAATCCACTCAATAGAAGCTAAGGAAAAAATCGGATAAATTCATTATAAATCATCTTAGGGAACAGCAACAGATGGAAATGCCCTCAACTTGAACTGATGGACCTACCACAGCACACGGGAAGGGAGCTATTCTGTCTTCGCGCCATCAAATGCTACCATTCTGCAATCTCCTCAAGTCTCTATCTAACACATTATGCAAAGACAAAAACCCACAACTAAAAGGAATTGTATATACAATTAAAGAAAAAAGTTAATGTGTCATTATTTGCAGATGATACTTTCAGCTAGAAAATTCATAGAAACTTGGAGATGGCTATTTGGACAGGTGTTTCAGGACACTTGTATAGAAGACCTGGTACATATTTTCCTATTTGGAACAACAACAAACAAACTTGACAGGATTGTGTGTGTGTGTGTGTGTGTGTGTGTATACGTATGTATGCATGTATATATATGGAAAATATATAGCTTTAATGAACACAAAGGACTAGAATTGAGAGACTGATCAAAGGTCTACATGGGATATTGTTGTGACAGTTTACTATTATAAAACTGTTTAACGTTCCCAAATGATAACAAATTCCAATCAGGATGTTTTATGGACTTAATACGCTTATTCCAAAATTTATCTTGAACTGTGTATGTGCAAGAAATTTTGGAAAAGGTTTATTTATTTTTTCTGAATAAGTATTAAGACAAATTAGAAATAATGATCACAGCAGAAAGTATGCTGGTCTGACCCAGTCATCGTGTACAACTACCTTCAAACTCTGAGCCCTCTTCCAACGGTGGGATAAGGGCAGTTTAAGTTGCTGACCAATGTGATACAAGCAAAAGTTAACAGGTGAAGTTTACAGGAAAGCTAATTTTTCTTTTTAAAAGAAAAGACTTCTGCTGGTATGCTCCTTTCAACCTCTGTCTCACGTTTCCTCTTCCAGTCTGGTATGTAAAGATAAGGTCTGAAAAAGTAGCAGTCACCTTGGTGACCACAAGGCAAATGCCTGAAAATGTTCCATTTCACAGTTTACCTTCCATGTTAAATTTCCAGAGAAATTAAATATCAAAAATTAAGTGTTTATGTACATATACTAAAGAAATTACAGAATATTTACATAAATTTTGGTGTCGAGAAAGCCTTTACATGCAAGACAAGAAAATACAAATTTTCTATTTATCAAGATTAATCCTAAAACTCAGGCAATATGCAACAGACACTCAGATGAAAAATAATTTGCACTGTAGATGTAGCACAGTTAATAGCCTTTCCCTAATATATAAAGGGCTATTAATGAAAAACTAAAAATGGCAAATAGGGCCATTGAAAACTGAGCAGAGAACACTAAAGTCATTTACCCTGGATGAAATGCTAATCAAAAATCACGTGAAGATACTTGACCTGAATAATAATAAAGAGAATAGAGAACAGATAGTATCACTTTGCCCCAGCTGAAGGAGCTGTAGGGAACTTGGCATTCACAAGCACTCAAACAAAGAAATAAACTTAACTGGCTTAATTAATTGCAGTGTAAATTAATTATAGGCAGTAGCCAAGCTACAAATCTGTTTTACATACAGTCTGTAGTTAGAACGACAGTAAAACCCATTATATAAAAATTCAGCGTAGATACACTGGGTGCTTCTTTGTGACAGTCAACAAAATATAATTATTATTATTCCTGAGTTACTACATTAAAGATGTTTTAGTATATCCAGTAATTTCCTTTAATGTTTTTTATCCATGGAAAGGTACACTAATATACTAAGACACACACGTGACTTACTGACATTAGATAAGAGTTGTACCTAACTGTTTAAACAATGGACGAATTCTACTTATAGACTTAAGAATGGTACACATTCATAATCTGGGAACTGCCTGTACACCTATAATAAGAAATATAATGCAGCTATTAAATAGTAATGGTTTCTTGGGGGTGGACTGAGGAGATTTGGGGGAAATGAGTAGCTAATAACAATGAGTACAAGAAAGAAGAAAATGTTCTAACACTGATCGTGCTAATAACTGCACAACTCTTGATATGATTAAACTATTGATTTATATGATATGTGGATTATGTGCAATAAAACGGTTTTTGTTTTTTAAAGAACATTTTCTTAATCCTAACATCGAGTGAAACACTTTTTGCTTATTTGGAATTTTCAGACACTTTTTAGACAGTCCAAGTTGCTGAAAATGTATCGCATAATACAGGTATTACTGTAGAATACTTCTAAAATTAATGATAATATGACTGTAACTCTCAAAAGTTATTGGGAATGTAATACTTTTCTACTATTTGATAATATACTGTAGGAGCCTTGGTGGCACTGCGGTTAAACACTTGGCCAATAAGCAAAGATCAGGGGTCAGGGGTTCAAACTGACAAGCGGTTTGACAAGCGAAAGATGTAGCAGTTTGTTTCCATAAAGATTACAGCCTTGGAAACCCTATGGACAGTCCTACTCTATCCTGAAGCATCGCAATGAGTGGGAATTGGCGCAACGGCAATGGATTTGGTAGCAGGCTTATAAATTTCTAAATATACACGTCTATATTCACACATACACACCATAGAAACTATAGGCCTAAAATATATTAACATACAAAGGATCTCAAGACATAGTCTAAAATTAAAAATCAAGTGTCAGAGTGGGAAGTTTTTACATAATCCCATTAAAATTTAAAAGTGGAGAGAAAGCGGAAGGGAGACAAAGGCAGAGACAAAGACAGACAAACCTGGAAGTGAAATGGTACATACCAGAGTGTTAACAGCACTGGCCGCTGGGAGCATAGTAAAACTAGACAAAGCATTTTCTAAAAATACTCAGCATATATTAAAAATGAGGAGGCTTCAAAAAGTTCATGGAAAAATGGAATAAAAATATAATGGAATTTTCCCATGAGCTTTCTGCAGCTCCCTTGTGTGTTCTTGCTTGAGAGCAAGCAGAAAAACAGCTTAATAGAAAAAGTCAGAAGATGGAATTAACTTGGAAAAGATATTAATTGGTTACACTGGGACATGTTAACTTTGAGTTGATTATGGAAAATCCTGGTTAAAGTCACCAAGACGGATGAGTGGTTAGATAAGATAAAGGCCATCAAGATTATAAGTAAACCCTATATCGAGCAGGTAACAAGAATAAAATAAAAATAGTCTACTCAAAATAGTAAGTCATGAAAACCTAAAGGGTACAAATCTTTGTAGTGTCCTAAATTGACAGCTTTGTGTTTATTAGTTAATTTACATGCAATAAAAATAGATTCAGAGAAGTCAATATGAACATATCCAAAGGAAATTTGCTTCTGGTTTTCTAATGGCCAGGCAACCTTTAAGGCCAATGTGGACAGTACTTGGATTTTCTGTCTCCTTATTTCTTACTAAAACAATCATGAAATTAAATCTACAGGAAGGAAAAAAAGGGCCTATGAGTTTTTACCTAAATAAGAACAATCCATTTGATTGCCACCAATTTACTAAATGGTTTTAACAAAAGCACATTATGCTTTGCAAAGTTAATAAAGGAAGAAAGGAAACTTACTAAGCTCTGTGATAAGTTTTAGATTCTGCTGCCGGATATTTTCAAACTCTTGTTGTTTCTTCCGCATATGTTCTTCAGTTACTGCACAGCGATCACACAATCCTGCTCTTAACCTATGAAGCAAAATTAATTAAATTTTAAAAATTCTCATCTAAAAATATATTTCCTTGACTGAAATGAGAAGAATGTGCATACAGAGGGTCGGAAAAGGGAGGCAAATTGCAAAACCAAAAAAATTGTAAAAATCGCAGCATATGTAAATATATTTATATATAACGAGAGGGGAATAGATCTATGTACTTATTTCTATATGTTAAGAATTAAGGCTGCAGATGGACATTGGGCCTTGACTTAAGTACTGCCTCAACACAAGAACACTTCTAACAATCTGGCATTCTGTGAGGCTCACCTTCCTGACACAATCGCTGAAGACAAAATGGGTGCATAAGCAAATGTGAAGAAATGTGCCCGGCTATCCAAAGTTATAGTGTCTGGGGTCTTAAAGGCTTGAAGACAAACAAGGGGCCATCTAGTTGAGAAGCAACAAAGCCCACCTGGAAGAAGCACACCAGCCTGTGTGATCACGAGGTGTTGATGGGATCAGGTATCAGGCACCTAAGACCCAGATCAAAACCATACCCAATGTGAATGAGGATGGGCGGCATGGAGTGGAGACCCAAAGCCCATCTGTAGACAATTGGACATCCTCTCACAGAAGGGTCACAAGGAAGAAATGATCCAGTCAAGGTGTAGTATACACTGATGAAACACACATCTTTCTTCTAGTTCTTTAATTCTTCCTTAACCCCACTATGGTGACCTCAATTCTACTTTACCAATCGGATTAGAGCAGAACATGCACACTGCTACAGATAAGAGCCCACAACACAGGGAATCCAGGATAGACAAATCCCTCAAGGCCAACAATGAGAATAGACATACCAGGAGAATTAGGGGAAGGTGCGGGGAGAAAGGTTAATTGATCACAAGGATCAACATATTATACACCCCTCCCAGGTGGACAAACACAGAAAAATGGGTGAAGGGTTTACAGAGGAGGATGTAAGATATGAAAATAATAATCTATAACTTATCAAGGGTTCAGGAGGGAGGGCAGGTGGGGGAGGGAAGGGGAAAAATGAGGAGCTGATACCAAGAGTTCAAGTAGAAAGAAAACGCTTTTAAAATGATGATGGCAAAAATAAATAAATAAAATAAAATGATGATGGCAGCATACATGCAAATCTGCTTGACACAATGGATGAATGTATAGATTGGGATAAGAGATGTAAGAGCCCCCAATAAAAATATTTATAAAAAATATATAGCAACATAAGCACTTTTTGCTTCAGTAATCTTAAGGTAAATATGAAAATACACAGAACTGAAAGGGATTGATTTCAAAAAGAACAAAGAATTGTTGAGAAGCATAGATTTGCTATTTCTTAATGTTATAAGATTTATAAAATGAAAAATATTAAATACCTGATAAAAACAAAAAACTGTTATTTAAGATATTTCAATATTAGTATATTGTTTATAATATAAAACAATATTAAGATATTGTTTCTTGATTGGCATCCTCACTTGAAATACTGTTCACTTTTATTCAACTATCACTGGCTGTGTGATTTATCCTTTACCATCTTTTTTAAAAAAAATAATTTTATTGGGGGCTTACAGCTCTTAACACAGTCCATACATACACTCATTTCCCCCCCCTCCCCTTCCCTCATGAACCCTTGGCAATTTATTATTTTTTTTTCATGTCTTACACCAACCACTGTCTCCCTTCATCCACTTTTCGTTGTTTGCCCCCTGGGGGGTGAGGGGACTACATATTGATCATTGTGATCGGTTCCCCATTTCAACCCCCTTCATCCCACCACGCTCCTAGTATTGCTACTCTCATTATTCATCCTAAGGGGTTTATCTGTCTTGGATCCTCTGTGTTGCAAGCTCTTATCTGTATCAGCGTATATGCTCTGGTCTATCTGGATTTGTAACTGGGGTAGAATTGGGGTCATGATAGTAGAGCAGAGGAAGCATTAAAGAACTAGAGGGAAGTTGTGTGTTTCATCGGTGCTGTACTGCACTCTGACCGGCTCTTCTCTTCCTTGTGACCTTTCTGTGAGGGGATGTCCAATTTATATTTGCTATTTAAGATTGCAAAAAACTAGATCTTTAATACAACTTTGAATGAAAAGACAAAGAATGGAGTAGGGGTGCTCAATCAGTAAAAAGATTGGTCAGTGTAAGGAATAAAAACATAATAATTTATAAATTATCAAGGGTTCATGAGGGAGGGAGGGAGGGAGGGAGGGAAAAAAATGAGGAGCTGATACCAAGGGCTCAAGTAGAAAGAAAATGTTTTGAAAATGATGATGGCAACAAATGTACAAATGTGCTTGACACAATGTATGTATGTATGATTGTAATAAGAGCTGAACAAGCCCCAATAACATGATTTAAAAAAAAAGATTAAGGGGTACTCGGCAGTTGTCATTAAATTTTGGAATTATGTGAAAAAAGATTTATTGTCTAAGGCGCTAAAACAAGACCCAATGGGAAGAAATTACACAGACAGATCCTTATATAAAGACTTCTCCAACTACAGTGGTCCTCCCCAGCCATGCATTCTGTATCTGTGGATTCAACCAATGTCTGATAGAAATTATTTGGCAGAAAAAAAGCAATTAAGTTGCCAAAGCAATCCTTCAGAGGCTAACAGGGAGCAAGGGGCTATTGACAGAACATTTATATTGTATTAAGTATTGTAAATAATCTAAATATGACTTAAATTATACAGGAGGATGGGCACACGCTATATGCAAATACTTTGCCATTCGAATAAGGGACTTGAGCCTCTGTCGATTTGGTTTCCACAGGGGCACTGGAATCAGGCCCCTGCAGACAGCACGGGTGGCTGTGTTTACGAAGAGAAGGCACTACCTAAAGACATGTTTAAGCACAGAAGTATGATGACTCAGAAACTGAGAAGGTTTTAAATACAGGTGGAATGTTAATTATATCCATGGTGCCCAAACCTGATTGTTTCTGAAACCCCCTGGGAAGCTTTAAAAGGGAAGAAGGGAGGGGGAGAGAGAGGGAAGAAAACGATTCAAAAGTCTCCCCCTAGATCCAAACAAACCAGGTGTCATTGAGTTGATACTGCCTACGGTGGCCTCAGGTGTGCCACAGAAGAACTAACTGTGCTACAGGGCACAATCAACTAAATTCGAATCCTCAGGATGGCCCTAGGCACCTGTGCTCAGAACTCCTCCGGTATCCTTCCTGCCCAGCTTTACACCCAGACACCCTCATTTCTTCTTGTCCAATTAGGTTCTTTTCACGTCTTTCTAGTTAGTTCAATGTGTAACCTACTATCCCATAAGGGACTTCTAGAACATAAAATATAATCCTACTTCTGGGTGAATATTTCGCACAGTCAATACACAGTTTATGGTTTTCAACTTATACTACTGACTTATAAATTAAAAGTAAAAGACTGAAATCTGGTAATAGAAAAGAACATAACGATTGTCAAGCTTGTTAGCAGATGTCAAGTTGCACCCAGACACATGGCAGTTCAGCTGATAGGATGCAGGGGGAGAAAAAGAAGAGCAATAATGGAAGGATTAAAAGCACCAATATCCTCCCTTTCATGTGGTGAGTCCAGGGAAACTCTCAAGTGAAGCACTACAGAACAATGGGCTTCAAAAAGTTGGCAGTAGCTTGCAAGTTGCTAGGAAGATGCTGGGAGCTATGCCACCCATATTTCAGATACTGGCTGGGTCATTCATGGACAGGATACAGTGCAGCTTTCAGAATAAGAAAAAAAGTCTGATGAACGATTTCTGAAAATCATGACAGATGAGTGTCTGAAACAGTGCTGGAAGATAGTCCCCTGGGGTGAAAGGCATTCGCAATGTACACTGGTGAACGTTCTGATCACAGATTTGCTGGAAGAAATCTGATGACGGGAAAAATATAAAATAGAATTTCAAATCCGTTGAGAATATTCACAAATGCACTTTACACAATTGATGTGTGTATGGATTGCGATAACAGTTGTATGAGCCCCTAATAAAATGTTTTGAAAAAAATAAAATAAAAAAATTTCAAATATTATGGAACACAGATTTTTTTAGAGACATGAAGGATACAAAAATCTCTGAAACTACTGCCCTGAGATTATATCTTCATTAACCCTATGTCAAAAAACATTCCTGGAAGTTTTAACATCAAACATTAAACACACACACATCAAAAAAAACAAACAAAAAAAACTAAGAAGGTTTTCGTCCCATATGAAACCACCGATGGCTACAGGAGTGGGAGGAGAAGAGGGAAAGGGGAGTGGTAGCTAGTGTTAACTTGGGTGAAGGGGAAGACAATATCCTAAAAGAGAGAGATGAGGGAAAAGGGGCAGGCAGGAACAGGGCAAACCACGGAAGGGTTTGATAAGCTGTTTTAAGTTGTTGATGGCAAAAATGATCTGAGTGTAAACCCTCACCTAGTTTTCACTAAAAAGTTAAGAAAAGGAAAGTCTGTCTTGCGCTGGCAATATTTTGTTCTGCTGTATATGGGGGTCACCATGAGTCACAGCTGAGGTGACTCTATCAGTTACCAACAACAAAGATTCAAAAGTGGAATAAGTGAAATGGAACTGAAATAAAAACTATTCCAAAGTAAACTGTTGAGTTATAGCAAGAAACCAAAGAGCTTTTGACACTGCGAGGCCCTGGTGGTGTAGTGGGCTGCAAACTGCGGGCTCAAGTGGTTCAAAACCATCACCTGTTCCTCAGGTCTACAGTCTTGGGAACCCACAGGGGCAGTTCTACCCGTCCTTTAGGTCACTATGATGGCCATGGGTTGGTTTGTTTAGGTCTTGTTCCCCCAGCAGGGTTCCATCACCATCTTCCACTGCTGTTCTCAGATGGAAAAAAGCAAAATGACAGGTCTGATTTCATAGGAAATGCAGTTTCAGGGACTATAAAGATAATTCTACTTGCAAGACCCAAAAGCAACATGCAATCTGAATTTTATTCTAGGTTGATCATGGCCATGAAGAAATGAAAGTTTTTATTCTCTACTAAAATTTCCTAGATTA